GAAGATGGCAGGAGGGAGGGGTTACTATATTTGGGCAAAAATGGCCGCTAAGTGATCCCAACGAAAATTATTTTCATTATTTTACTGATAAACGCTAAATTTATTAAATCACAGCAAACCTATTACCGTAGTTTTAGGTATCAATAATGATCCATTGATTATTCCTTGCTGATCGGACTTTTCCTTTTAAAAACTTTGCAGCTTCAGTTTTGTGAGTTGATCAGCAGAATTATTTAATTTATGTCGATTAATGGCAAACAGATTTCCCCAAATAACCTTTAAAGCTGAGGAAGCGTTTTAGATGGGAGGTAAAATAATTCTAGGAACAAAATCTATAAAAATGGATAACGTTAAAGACGACCATGTTAAACTGAATAGAATTATTTGTTCAATTTGTTGAAACTATCACAGTGTTTGCTTTTTGAGTCACTTAACCTAAAACACTTGGAAAGCCTATTCTGTTTGAACCTGTTATAGATCTAGAATTCATCTAAAGCCAGATTTACCAGGTGTTACTGTAACACTCATTTCTAAGGGGTTTCTGACATCAAAACTGTATTTCCTATTTTTCGGGAAAAGGAGCTTTAGTGTTGAATTTAAGTATAGCTATGCAGTTCTATTGTCTTTTTTGTTGTCTGTAATCATGCAGCTAAAACAATTCATATGAGTCCCAGAAATATGTGTTTCATTGGTAATTTTACCAGCAGTTAATCATCATTGGGCTTTTCATTGTTTTGTTTGTCTCCAGCCACGCAGTGAATGTTCTTCTTCATAATGTCCTCACTTTGAACTTCCTTTCCTCTGCAGTCTGTCTGCTTCCTGCTGTGACTTCTGTCTCGGTTCACCCCACATCTTTTTTCCCCTCTTTCATCCTCTCTCTTTCTGATTGTCACTCTGTTCTTGTGTCTGTTTGTGATTTCAGTGGAACCGTCTCTTACCAAACACTAAAGGCAGGGAAGTTTTAGGAGCCCGAAGCGTCATTTAAAACTCAGGTGTAGTGAGCTCCAGTTGGGATCTTGCATGAGCCTAAACATCCACACTAACGATCCACCACCAAACACGCTTGACGGCAACAACTAGCATAATAATGTCAGGCCAACTCATGCCTCTCATGAGTTATGAAGGCCTGATCTGCCTGTACATTCATCACACTCCTCAAGTAGATCCAAAGTAAAAAATAAATAAAACACTACAGGAAACCTATTCAGCTGTCTGCCATTATAGGCCTGAAATGTAATACTCATATAACATCATCTCCTTTGTCAAAAAGACGAATTAACAAGGCAGCGAGATGAAATTTAAAACTTTTATATTGCCAGTCAGACCAGTGTGATGAACAAAGGCATGTCTAATGGCCTTTCTGAGCCAATAGAAAGTGGTTATATGAGTTTATGACACTACGTGCGTTTATAATGACCCTGAAATTCTATAAATTCTAATCATTTGTACATGCAAATTTTGGGAAAAAAATTTCTTTGCTAAAAGCTTTTGTGCGAAAGAAGGTTTTTTTTATTATTATTACATGACTCACGTGTCACTTTTTACTTTCACATATGCAGGGTTCCCGCAGGTCCTTAAAGTCTTAAAAGGCATTGAATTCTTCAAAAATAAAACTAAGGCTTTAATTGGTATTAAAATGTCTTAAATTAGTCTTTCGTAGGTCTTTTTTTTAAAACATCATCAATTGGATTATTTTTATTACAATTTATTTTTGTAATCTAAAGAAAACATAAAAATTGACCCTTTTTTTTTTATTTAAATAAAATAATGGCTCGCCATTATTGGTTCCGTCTCGATAGCGAAAAAAAAAAAAAAAAAAATGCAGACTCCAACAATGGCATCTTTACCAACTTCTGTCCACCCTGTTGACACCATAGGTTCCGGACCGATTTATTTCAAACACAACGTTGTTTTTTTAAACCACAAGATCCCTGACTTTGACACAATATCATACCCAATATGATAATAGCAGGCCCTTTTAGGAAAAAAATAAAATAATTTAGCCAATGTCATGTTTGGCTACTTTAAAAATGCATATTCTGAAAATTATAAAATATTCCACATATCCAGAACATGTATAATACAAGCAGAGCTTGTATTCCAAACAATTATCCTGGTTTTAGTTTCATCCTTTAGTTTAACTAAAGAAATGCTAAACACTAGTAACCTTAGTAACGAAGGACTTTATTTTTGTTGACAAAGATTGAATATAAAATTAAAATGTTTACTTTATTGTGTTACTTTTATGTTTACATTGAAGATCCATCCTGTAATTGTTTCACTGCTGGGCTGTTTGGATCTACTTTCTTCATAACATTCCTGGACCTATTCCCCCTTTTTTAACAGAACCTGTTAAATGAACAGATTTGTGACAAAGCATTCGCCTTGGCACAGTTTTTATTTTTCTGTTTTTACTTTTTTTGCCGCAGCTGCAGTGTTTCAAGCCAAGCAAGTATTATTCAGACACAGATAACCTGGGTTGAAACAAAAAGGCATTTTTTTACATGTGAGAGCAGTTTAACTTTACTAATCCGACCCCAAACCTGGTTAATACCAGACCTTTAGTCTTTAAGTTTAGGGTTATTTGGAAACATGGGGAAGGGTGAAGTATCCTAAGGAGAAACACATCACTGCCTCGATCAAAATCACAAAAATAAAAACAAGTATAATGGTCACTGGCATCTTTAATCCAGGAGAGGTCATCAAGCAATTCCAATAGCTTTGGAAGTCCAATGAAGCACAGTAAGAATATTATTAATATTTTCCAACACCAAACCTCTACTGACCAAAAACATGACAAAAGCCCATCTCACAGTTCCATAAAAAAGCATCCTGACGATGCCTAGACTTGTGAAGATCTGAATAATGATTGTTGAATAATGAATAAAACTAAAAGCGCTTTCAGAAAATAACCGTATATACTGGCAGCCTAACATGGTGCTGGTAGTGTCATGATCTGGGGCTCTTTTGCTGCTTCAGAACCAAGATGACTTATTTTCATTGGAACTATGCATTATGCTCAGTAAGTTTGGGACTTGAAGACTCAGTACATTCTCGTCTGGCAGTACAAACCATTCAAAGTTCTTAACGAATGGCAAAAAAAAACAATAAACAGAAAATTTTAGAGCGTTTTTTTCAGTCCTGATATCTAATCTAGATGCTTATTTCATGACTTTAAACGGGCCCTCAGATTTGGCTGAAGGAAAATGATAATGGAACGAAAAGAGGGCAAGATGTTTGCTAGTTACTGTTAACATGAGAAATAACTTTCATTTATTCTCAGTGTATCTTTGTATGACATTACTAATGTGTTATGAAACGACTCGAATGCGGACAAAAAAAGCAAAAACAAATGTCAGCGTGCAGCAAACTTCTACAAGCTTTGGGTGCCTTTCCACACAAACAGTCTTTGTGAAACAACTTCCCCCTAAGTAAAACTTTCAGAAGAAAAAAAAAAGTATTTCTTCTGTTCAATTATCCCTGTAAAGTTTGTGCTGCTCTAAACCAGTGTTTAATGCTTCCACTCTGTTGTAGAGCATTGATCTACTGTAGCACATTGATTGCCAAAGTTAGAGTCATGACCCTATTTGGGGTCATATAAGGAAAAAAAAAAGTTAAATTAAAGACTTATTAGATAACTAAATAAAAAGCTTTTTTTTTATTACACTGTACCTTGAAGTGTTTTGTGTTCCAACCAATAATAAGCATTCCTGTGCACTTCCTGTGTTGGAAAGGCACCTTCTTTCCCCACAAGCAACTATGATTCTTTTTTGTGATGCGTGTTGTTCTGCTCCATTCCTAAAAATATTTCCATCCACTTTTGAATTCCCCTTCAGCTGTTGTGACCATCCAGTGTAACATCAGCAAACTATTTCTATTTGTGCAGGCATCCATTATTGGTGTTCTACATTTAAAAAAACCACTTCCACATGTCTTGCATTTTTCCAGCTAATAGTTTATCTGTAAGAAAAAAAAAGCTTTTGCAGAGAAATGTGTAGGTTTTTTAGATGTCAAAACTTTGAATCCTGGAGGAATTCAAAGCCTGTCAGCATGTTTAACAGTAGCAATGATAAATTCTGATATACAATGTGGAAAATGTTTTCTGTATTCCTGATTTCTTTCTCTTTTGATCCATGCAGTCTGATTCTTGTTCTGATATTCTTATTCAGTAGTTTTCCGGGTCTTCTGAAGGCTTTCCAAAGTTGAATTTGACAGATTTACTCAGATTTACAGTTTACTCTTCTCAATTTTTGTAATTAACCAATGATGTCAAATTGAGAAAGTGGGGAAACTAGTATTGTAAAATTTTAATCATCTTATTTTTTTAAATATTAAAATCACAACATGTCATCTTGATGTGCTTAACAGAGAGAATTCATTCAGCCATTTTCAAATTGGTTAAAAGTTTCCTGTCTAAGGAAACCCAGCTGGTTGCATCGAGTCACTGACATCGTAGCATCAGCTCCTTCTTGATGATGTGGCAACAGTAGATATTTGTGTTCATTGTGTTAATGACTCTTCAGCAATCCCTCACCCCCAAATTCCACATACTCCGTGAGCGCTCCGCCCCGCTCAAATCGTTGTGTGGAGAACTTGCCTGTCAAGGTAATCGATGAGAAGTGTTCCACATCCACCACTACTCCTCTGCACGTAACCGCCCACTTACGTCTTCTGTCGTTCACCGTCAAAATACGGAGCCGAGCTGTTTTTTTGCTCCGGTCCGTTTAGGCGATGTCTCCAGATTTTTACCCGTCATGAACTGAATATTTAAAAGTAGATAATTATAATAACAGTTATTTCCCCATCAAAATCTCAAAGATTTCTTTTTTCTTTTAGTCATTAGTAGGATTTGGATTATCAGTTTAGACAATAACTAAACTGTAAGTACTGCATGTTTTTGTAACTTTCAACAAACGGCGTTCACTGAATACGTTTATATTATAAGTGAACGGTAAACTGAATGGATCAGTTTTGAAGTAATGAACATGAATGAGAGCGACGTTCACTCTGACCCCCAGATTCCACATGTCTCCACTCTGCTGTCGTACGTCGTGCAGAGTGTTAATCAATAAGAACTGTTGCACATCCATCTACTCTTCACACGTCATCGCGCACGTACGTGTTGTCCATCATTCACCATAAAAATACGGAGCTAGGCTATTCTTTGCTTCACTCCGGTCCAGCCAAGTCAAGATCCGCAATTGCAATCGCACCAAACAGGGAAAAGAATGAGAAGATCCAGTTTGTCAAATTAAAATATGGTAACAAAAGATTGGTAACTACAAATTAGAGCATAATTCCTATATATTCCCAACAACTAAGACCGGAGCAAGATGGGAGTAACAGCGGAGGCTGTAGACTTTGCTTTGTGCAGGCAGTCTGGAACAGAGCAGGGCGGTTATGGAGGATATAGGACTTCAGGTTTAGGGAGCATATGTGCAAAAACATTAGAGAGGGAAAACTGTCCTGACAGAAACATTGTCAGCAGAACCAGGGTTGGTATGAGTGGCCTTCCCCCTGAAAATGGGCCCTTTCACTTTGAACTCCCAGTCAGCCTGAGGGTGGGAGGAGACACAAGCAAAAAAACAAAAGGAAGATGCATAGAAGTGATTATGGAAAACTTGCTGTGTTAGACAGAGCTAACCATGGAATTATTTCACCATTATCTTTAAGATTATGAGGTTATTTTCATGTTAAAAGGGATGAAAGAGAAGGCATGCAGTTTATGCCTAGCTATGTCTAGCAGAAACAAATGACTAATCACTGATAGACAGGTCCAACTCTATTGTGCATATATAATCCAAGTGATTGATGGCAGCAGCCCGATGATGCCTCCCTACAGGATGATGTCACAGCCAAACAGAGAACCAGACCAGAAGAAGCTGCTATGACTTAAAAAGGCAAATATAACATAACTTTAGGGGTTGACATAACAAGTATTGTGGAATAGAAGTAGAATAAAGCAGCATGATGAAAAGTGGTCCCTATGTCCTCCATCAGACTAAGCCTATAGCAGCATAACTGTAGAAGTGGCTCAGGTTATCCTGAGCTATTTTAACTATAAGCTTTATCAAAAAGGAAAGTAGAAAGCACAGACTTAAGGTACACAGGGTGTTTGCCTCATGGACTAAAAATGTTAGTTGATTCCAGAGAAACCTGATAACTAAAAAATCTCCTTCCCATTCTACGTCTAGAAATTCGAGGAATCACTGGTAAACCAAAAGATTGAGAGCAAAGTGCTCGGTTAAGAATAAAAGGGATTATCAGATGGTCCTTGGCCAAGGTTATATATATGAGAAGGAGGATTTTAAAGTCTATTTTAGGCAGGAAGCCAAGAAAGAAAAGCTAAGATGGGAGTAATATGATCTCTCTTTTTAAATTTAATGGGATTTAATGGGAAAACATTGTTGCACCCTACGGCGGAAATATGTCACCAATCCATTAAAAAATGAATCGATGCTTTACTCGTCATTAGACATTAAATATTTATCTTACACATCAAAAAAAATATATATCACTATTTATTTCGAAATATTTTTTAGAAATATAAATTATAAAATAAAAATTGTATCATTTTAATTTGGATTTTTTATATCTTAATCAAGGCCATTGGGCTGGTGGGGCGGAGCTCTAGCGTCCTCTATTGGCCAGCCGCCACTCTAATAGCCTTTCTCTCTGTGACTGTCTATAGATCAATAATTTGTGCAAAGAGCTTCAGAAGGTCCGGGAAACTTAAGATAAACCAGTTTTCAAACAGTAATGGTTTGGAAAGAAGTAAATGCAGATATGTGGCATGTCTCAAGTCTTTTGCACAGTAATGTATGTCTCTTCTGTATATGTATAAATGTAAATCATTTAAAAGCATGCTGAATGGGAATTTCTTTGTTCTGTTACTTTTTTCTAAGAGAAGCTTTTCATGTAGAATAATCCCTAATTAGTCTGCTCTCATTGTTTTGACACTGTTTATGTTGTCTTTTGCAGGCCAGAGCAGCCAGTGGTATAAAGGGTCTGTTTCACAGAAACCCAAAGCAGGCTTCTCTAGACAGCCATGCTGCTGTCCACCGCTGCCGTAAACACCCATTTGGCGCCCACCTCCTGCGCCGCACTGCCAGTGCACCCACCAGAGGCCAGCCCAAGGTTATAAAGGGCTTCCCTGAGATCCCCATTGACACCAAAGATTACAGCTCAGAGGGGGCTAGTGAAGAGCGAGAGTCTGAGAATAGAGACAAGGCCTCTTCCGCCACTTCTTATCAGTTCACTCCACCACAGCATCACAACGGGGAGTCACTAGCCTCCCACCAAGCCAAGGGTCCCTGGGACCATCCTGGCACCAATGGAGCTCTCCACCCAGAGGAGGGTAAAGGTAAGAGCTGTCCTTTTGCCAAGCGAAGACCCATGAGTGAGCCTCTAAAACGGGCCAACCGTCTCCGTTTTCATGAGCCATTAGACATGAAACCCGGGGTGTTTGCTCGAGTTGCACTCACTAGTTCTGGCAGGGTAGGAATGTCCTCAAACTGCATCACATGTGTGATAGGGTCTAAGGAGAGTCCCGAAGCTGAAAGAAAAGTCGAGGAAATGCAAAAAGGCAAGTCTGGAAAGGTAGATGTGGACAGTAAGGAATGTAGTGTACAGTCGTCCTCAGAAAAGAAACAAGTTCAACTGGTTACAAAGACTACAGCTGCAACCCCTGACCTACATCAACCCCTCTCCAATGCCAAATCCTGCAGGGAACCCCAGTTTCAGTTCTCCCCTCAGCCTGACCTAAGTCCTGTCCCGTTCTCCAGATGTAAAGAAAGACAGACTCTTGGTCCCCAACATTTACGGCCTCATCCTCAATCCCATCTCAGGAACATCCGGTCCTGCAGCGTTCCGCGTAGACGCTCCCCTAATGCTGTTACACCAGCACCTTGCATGACTCCAAACTGCAGAACCAACTTGTGTTGGCAACAGACTACACCCCCCAACTATGGGTCTGTTTGTGGTTCATTGCTGACTCCAATAAAAGTCCTCACTGTGAATGAATCAATTTCACTCAGTGACAGCAGCAGCAGTTGTGACAGCTTGGACAGTCTGAGCAGCCTGGAGTCACCCCCCATGCTACCTCCACGCTCTGTCCTTGATGGCCGCAAAAGGGCAGCAGGTACTCTGCAGCGAGAGATGAACGCTCTGTTTGCTCAGAAAATGGAAGAGTTGCACCATAAGTCCCCCATGTTCTTTGCTGGTAAGATGAGCCTGAGGCTATTGCTGTGGTTAGAGTTGATGTAGCCTCCATGTACATAGAGATGATGTCCTGGTTTGGTTGTAGATGTAGGTAGGATTTTTCTCCTGGCCTGCCCTAGTTATAAGCCCTCCACCCCCCACCATCCCATACCTGATGGTACGATGAATTAGTGCTTACTTGTTTAGTTGTTTTGTATCCCAACATTCTCAATTTTTTAGTCAAACATCTTTATAACAACCATCTCATATTAAATATGTTGGGGTTTTTTCTCTAAATATTCCCTGCATAACTATGCCCAATTGCTTGACAGATGAGAAAAGCGGTAAGTTGTTCTTGTTGTTTTTTTGTTTTTTGTTTTTTTGGGGGGGGGGGGGCTAGTTAAATGTAAATGACAAAATAACAAAACCTCACACTCCCAAACTTCTACTTTATCAATTATCACATAGACAAATAGATAACCCAATAACAAAAAGGCTTAAAGTTTGTTCAAACCTTTGATCGGACATAAAGAAAAGCCAGCAGGAACTGTGGCAGTATTATGACTTTATGCTTCTTGCATACAATATTAAAAATATATATATATTTTTCAATACTGTAGCAATATCTAACATTAGAAAACCTCTTTATGTTCTGTTAAATCAATTATTATTGATTTGAAATTGCATATAGGAGGTAAATATACAAAAAGGTAGTCTTGCCATGTTGAAGGGCATCTCCCATACTGAATAAACAAGGTCCGGCATTATTTGACGCTTTTTGAGTGCAGATACATAAAAAACTGTTTCTGCAACCAGTATTGATTGCATATTTCCACTTATAGAGTGGAAACTTTACAAGATGTTGAATCTCTGGTAGGGGTCAGCGTTGCCTCCAGTGGAGAGGTTAAATATCGTCTGCCTGCAGTCTTAAGCTCACTTTTAAATTCTGGTCCTTATTCACAGGGCTCTAAACGACCAGACCTCTGACCATTTATCTCAGCTTTTAATTACAAATTCTGCTCCTCTAAGTCTTCGAGCAGAAGGCCAAAACCTCATGAATGTTCTTCATATTAAGCTGAGAACTAAGGTTAACGAGACCTTTCAGTCTGACCCCTAAACTTCTTGTTCCTCCAGAATTTTATGTCATGAATTTAGTTGTGCTATTGATGTTTTTTATTTCTAATCTTGTCCTGGTTTTATGGTGCCTTCTATTATTGTCTTATTGTAATCTGTAAGATTCAATAAACAGGCATAACATTTGATAACAAAAGGGCTATGGTATCAAATTAACAGTTGATTTCATGTATAGGTAGATGAAGAGGCATATAATATAAAACAGTATTTAGCCAACCTTTGATTCTAAGATGGGTTTTGTTTTGGTACAAACTCAAAGACCAGTTGCAATAAGTAATAAAAAAGTAAAAAAAAAAATTTAAATTTATTTTAAAATTAGCATAAACTGAACATGAATTTCCTTATGAACTGCAGAGCTCTGTAGATCCTTTTAACTTATGTGCTAATGAACCAGTCCCATTTGTAGTAATCGGTGCATTTAAGATAAAAATCGTCTACAGCTGTACCTATGGGTGGGGTTAAAAGCTGGACTGCAACTAAAAGATGGCTGGAATTAAGTTTGCATTGTGCTAATTGTTGATGGAATATACATAATAAAACAAAATTCCCTATGGAGTCCCATGCACTGTATTGATAGTGTCTCACAGTTAACTCTACTATATCTATTAATAATAGACCACCTAATTTATTAATTATTAATACCCTATCACCCACATTTAGCAATTAGCCTCTTAATAAGGCTAAATATTGCAACACAAAAGTATGAAATAATAAGCCAAGCATAGCCTAATTTTTGCAATTATTTTTTATTTGTAGATTGTTTTGCATATTATTTCTATAACATGTACATCATTACATTCATCACATAAATCTAAAAAAAAGTTCAGCCTTTTATGAACAAATACTTCCAATAGTATTTGTTTGTATTGTATTGTGTATTTGTTGTATAGCAATATATGTTTGGCTGATTTATGCATTATTTTGTTTTTAATGCATGTTTTGAATAAATAAAGCCGACTAGGAGAGGACATGTAGGGGTGTTTTTATTGATAAAACTTGGATCTAAGCACCGATTTGTTCACCTGTGACTGGAGAGTTTTCCCATCATGCGCTATGCAGCGCAGCCAGTTCTGATCTCTGGTGGTTTCAGTTGCTCACTTGCTCCATGCATCAGATGCAGACAGGAGCAAGTTGGACAGAAATCTAACCGGTGTGCTCCGTGCGCAGACCAATAGATGGCATCTGCGCAGGTCTAGATCATGTCAAATACTAGCCTCGTGAGACCATCCTGATCTCGCGAGCTTTCAAGGTTTCACTCGCAGATCAGTCTGGAGACTCTCCGTTAAAGAAAATTTGGAGCCGTTCACCAAACGAACGTCCAATCAGCGTTGGCTTTGAGGCGGGTTGAGGTGTGACGCAACGAGAAGCGCGACAGTTCAGTCTAAAGAACATGGCGGCTTCAGCCGATGAAACTAGCGTTAGCGTGGCTATCGAGCAAGTTTTATCGGAATTACAGAGTATTTCTTCACTGAAAGAAGAGCAAAACACTGCTCTGGAGGCTTTTCTCAGAGGAAAAGATGTTTTTGCTCTTCTCCCGACTGGTTTCGGCAAAAGTAGCCTGGCTTGTGGTTGTGTTTTCGTCGTCGCTCTGTTAGTACGTCATATGCTTCGTTGATCTGATTGGTTTATTTGGCCCGTCTATCACCAACATAGGCCAATCAGCTTACCAGTATTTTCGCCCCCTTCCCAAAATTACTTCAATGGAAGGTTTCCGGCGGAGTCAGGTTAGTCAAAAACCCCCTGCTTTAAATTGAAAATGTTTGAAATGGAAAAGTAAATGATGCGAATCAAGTCTTATCTGCCTGTCTCATTTAATGTTGAAGTCAATGTTAAAGCACACAGGATAATTTATATAAAGTTGAAGAAAAGAGATCCCTCATACTCTATTAATGCCTAAGGCCAAAAGATTCCCAAAAGCAGAGGGCAAAGTTCTTATGAATAAAAAGGAAAACCATTTTTAGTTCTTTAAGAGTAATGCATTTAGGATAGGGGTTTAAATATGAGTATTTTTCATTTTCTTTTTTTTCCCTTCTTTTTCAAGTATTTCAGTAACTTGAACCTATATTCTTTTTAGCATAATACGTGTACCCCAATAGTTTTCTATTGAGCTATTTCTGATCAATCTAACAATATCTCCTATCATCTTTCTATCTACATGTACTGTAGCTTTGACATGGTCCGAATCTTGGAAGGTTTCGTCTGAGTTTCCTGCAACAGGCAGAGCTTTAGTCACGCGCTGCTGTTTCCTGTGTCCATGTGAAACCTTCAGCTCACATGATAGGCTTCCTGTTATGGTTAGACCCAGCTGTTGAACTCTAATCCCACTCCCCCACCCCCACTACCAAATCTCTCAGATGGACTACATTTCATTTGCAACAAATCATTTCTAGGGAAAACTGTTTCAAATCAAACTCCTGGTTTCCTGCTCTGTTGGAGAAGTTCATGTGTACAATCTTTATGCTGCCAGTTGCATGCGGTACACCATGACATTACAGAGCAACATGTCTTAATAAAATGCTATGTGCTCTAAAAAATGGCTTTTTTCCTCTCTTCTTCCTCCTGATTGCAGTTTTGATAATTCCTTTCTTCCTCTCTGTTCCTTCTTGCATGCTTTCTCTGTTCCTAGTGCAGAATTGAGGGGATGACAAGAGCCAGGTAAAGTCACTGAATCAATGCAAGTAGTGCTGTTACACCTTCAAGTCATTGTATTTTATTTTATTTTTTTGCCACCAATCATTGTTTATTTGCCCATTATGGGATTTTAAATCCTAATTCTTTCTCATTTCCATTTTTCATCCAACCTATGCCCGATGTGAATCAGATAAAAAATATTAATCTAACCCTAACCCAGTGTTACAGGGTTCAGTTGAAATGTACATGAGAATATTTTCTAATCCTATCTTTCAGCAGTTACTTTAAATAGACAATTATTTTACAATTAAATAAAGTTCTAAACACAAAAAAATAAAGGAATTGCTGGAAAAAAGTCATAAGAATCAAACTTAGACCATTGAGTTTGGAGAAACTTTTCATAGAGTTCACTGTAGAATGTATAATGGTCTCTTAAGGAGTGATTTTTAGTGATAGCTGATTTTTAGGGTTAGCTTCTTTTTTTGCAAACTTCACAGTATGAATGTATCCTAACATATATACATTGTTTCAATAGTTGAAGAATAGCTAAAATATCATACTTTACACCATTTCTCCAAATAAACGATTATGTGTGGGAACAGTTGGGATGGTGCCTTTCAGTTCCAAGTAGGGAGGGGGGAGGGTCAGGTGTCCTGTTATGTGTGGGATAGTGCCACAGTTTTCTCGTCTGTTCTGCTGTCCCACATATTGAAACAATCAGCCATATTTGAGGAAAAAAAAGTAAAGAAATCACAGGTGCTTGACCTTAATGCAAAGAAAGAAGAGTTGCATTCTTTTTCATAGAGCTGCACCAGTTCCCAATGTCATGACCAACCTGCCCATGAAGCTCTTAAAATACATCAGTTAAAAGATTTTAAAACTAAATGTCGACTACATTTTAAAGAAAAGGAGAAAAATAGCCCAACAAAGACTGAAGACTGGTTTATAGCTGGGTGAAGCAGTGACGGGGGATTCTCAGAGCTTGTGAAGTTTACCATGTTTTTTCTAACCCTTATAAGCATCCTAGTTGTTCCCACATTTTTTTGTTTTTATGATTTTTCCCCCCTATGTCCAGCATGATTGGGCACCAGTGCACACCACAAAATCTTAAAAATGGAAAACCCAACCAGCCTGCAGTGTCAGTCCTGACTTCTTACCGGACATATTTTTTTCTGGCTAGACTAATTATTCTTTGACAATTTAGTGTAAGAATTATTTTTATATCCAGTTTTTTCGGCTCACACAAAGCAGCATATTTAAAGGTTAGGTAAAAAAAAAAAAAAACACATTCAGCTTAGGTAGGGGTGGATTTGTGTTTCATGGTGGAGTATAGTCGATAAGGTATGGAGGAACGTTTCCCATATAAGCTCCAGTCCAGCTTTTTTCTAAGGGGTTATGTAGGCCAGTGTTGGGGCCATTCCTACTATACTTGGAAACCTTTTGTGTTGCATAACACCTCCTGACTGAAAGAGAGGAAACAGTGAAAACATTGTGTAGTTTCACACAATCCAGATGTCGCTCCCTCTCCCAGGGCTTTATAGTTTGCAGCTTTCATATTTCAAGTTGATTGTAGCAAGAGTTTTTTTTAAAACTTGCAGTGTACAGAGAAACTGTGCGTACATGTTACTGCATTATTTTACCTTAATACTTAATTCAAGGCTCATATGGTTTAGTGATTATTCTGTCACCCAACCGGAACGTTGGGTGACAAACACATTTATTGTTTTTCAAATAAAGCCCATTCAAAAAAGGACAAAAAAATACATGGGCGACATATTGTTTCCATTGAAACCGCTGCCTTTAATATTAGGGACAAAAAGAAATAAGAATAACAATGGGTAAGAGGAGGGTAGAATCATTTTTCACGCTTTTATCTTCAGCACAAAGAAGCAACACGGATAAAAAAAAAACAAAAAAAAAAAAACATCTTAGAGTAGTCACGGTGAAGTTGTGTGTATTCGTATCTGTAAGTATGCGTGTGTGCTTGTGTGTGCAAAATTAGTCCGTAAAGAGACCTGTCCCTGGGGGGGCCATTGTCGTTGACACACTGCAAAAACGTTCCTTAACCTACCTTAATTTGAGCAGGTTAATAAGATAATTTGAGTATATTTACTCTTAAATTAAGATAATTTGATAAATATGCACTTGAAATAAGACAATTCAATTGTTTTTTTTCTTATTTTAAATGTAAATTGTCTTGTTCTATTGAAGTGTCGCACTTACCTCCTCAATGCAAGTAAGAACAAATGACTTATTTAGATTTACATTTTTGCAGTGCAGTACCATGTAATCTTCATCAACCGGCCACACAGGAGCAGGTCTACAGCTGTCCTAATGGAAGGGAGGTGAAAGAGGGAGCAGAACGTTGTTTGCATGATATCAAGAACTTAAGAATTTCAGATGGAGACAGACTGATTTTCTTTTTTTCCATCAGCATTGAGTCTCTGCTTGTTCTTCGCAATTTTGAGTCCAAATAGACAGAATTCTGGTCTAAGTTTAGAACTTTCTCCAAGATTATACTATTTCACCTCTGAATCCAGAACCCACAGCCCGCCTGCAATCCTGTGCCAGGATCAGATCCAGGTTTTGAAATTACTTTAACATCAAAGTCTGGGTGTAACCAGCTCTGCAGATCCCCTCATACATGCAGGGAAGCCTAACAATGGCCAAGACTGTCCATGTTTTCAATTCAGTTTATTTCTATAGCACCAATTCACAACACATGTCATCTTAAGGCACTTTACAATTCAACCAGGTCATACAGTCAAATTGATTCAAGGTTTTCTATCTAAGGAAAACCAGTTGATTGCATCGACCATTGACTCAAAGGCAATCCCTCACACTAACCATGCTTGTAGCGACAGTGAAGAGGAAAAACTCCCTTTTAAATAGAAGAAACCTCCAGTAGAAACAGACTCAGAATTCAGAATTTCCCAGATATGTCAGGTATCCAAAAACTCCAGACAGCACAATTATGTACATGTCATCCATGTACTTCACTGACATAATTGTCAGACATACAGTGTTCCATTTCTGCCAGGAATTCAATTCAATTCAGTTTATTTATATAGCGCCAATTCATAACACAAGTCATCTCAAGGCATTTTACAGTTCAACCAGATCCTCCAGTCAGATTGATTCAAAGTTTTCTATCTAAGGAAAACCAATTGATTGCATTGACTCAAATACAATCCCTCACACTAAGCATGCTTGTAGCGACAGTGGAGAGGAAAAGCTACTTTTTAACAGAATTCAATGTGTATATAAAGAAAAACAACCTATCTGGACTAGAGGGTTCCCCAAACCTTGGTCTGCTGTCGGAAAAACATTGATCAGTTGTGTTGAAAGACAAGCTTATCAGATCCATGATTTAGTTTTGGAAGATATGCAAAAAGAGACTCCAAAATGAAGACAAAAAGCAGATCTAAAGCAAGGCAGATAGGACAGTGGGGAGACTGAGAAAAAGTGTCCTCCTCCACCAAGAGTAAGGAAGTATTCAGTTTGCAACTGACTGAACCTGTTTCCATCATTTTGCGTGTGTTATGGTTTGTCGGTGTTGAGGCTAAATGTGATTTCAGTTTCTTTGTTCAAGTTAAAATCCTAAAAACTAATTCATTTGAAAACACCGGGTTTGATACTCCTTCAGTTAACATTAATTAAGCAGCATTTTATTTTCTGAGTAAGATTTGGTTCTTTTTAGCTTGACATTGACACTTTAAATCTTTGTGGATACCACAAATTTTCATGCAAAGTTTGTTTTTATGCATCCATAGTTGTGCATGAAACATCACATGACAAGTTTTTGTGCATGTAGTCAGATCAAATAACAGATGGAGCTGTGTCAATCATTATATTAATAATTAGAATTGATTATTTTTCATTTGGGATTGATATAGCATTTTTGAATTTAATTGAATAATAATAAAAACTAATTTTATACAGGTAAAATACTATTTCTAGTTACAGGACTCCATCTCCTAAATGAAACCTTCCTGTAAAGATTAAATTGAGGAGTTTGAAACATGTTTTAGGGGGAAGTTAACATTGAGCAGGTTGGAATAGAAAAGCCAATTTTATAATGTTTTTTCTTTGTTACTCTCTCCACAGACATTTCCATGGAGCAGACATTGGGCTTCCCTTCATCAGTGAAAGGAGGAATCCCCAGTAGCAGCTTTGCCCCTACCCCAGAGAGGAGCCTGTCGCCATATCGCACCACATCCTCACCAATCCATCAATCATCCATTTTACATTCGCCAGTACACAATGCTTCACATGGAGCAGTGCACAGTACCACTAAAGTGAACAGAGAAATTAAACCCTCCACCTCTTGCACAGCCTCTGCTACCTTAGCGGGTAGCAGTCCTACAGAAATACCAGAGACGTCTCAAGACTCACAGGCACATGTAGGCACCGTTGACGAAGAACTGAAGAAAACCCCAGAAACTCGAGTTGAGACAGCAGGCAGAGAAAAAAAGCCAGATCTCAGAGTGGAACCCCCTGGTGAAAGACGCCCCATAGGAACTCCAACAATCCCAACTGCTCAGCTGTCCCAGGCCAGGAGAGCTCTTTTTAACGCTACACCACTGCACATCCCAGTAAGACGAGCAAAAAGCGAAGGGCATGTTCGAGGGGATGGAGCCGGGCTGGCTCAATCTCCTGTACCAGAGGTCTGTACAGATGCTACCATGAATGACCGAATCTGGAGCAAACTGGAGCCAGGGAGCCACAGAGACAGCGTTTCCTCCTCTTCTAGCATCTCCTCAAATGATACAGTCATTGACCTCTCTCTTCCTAACCTGGCCAGAAGGAGCCTCATCATCCTGCCCAGTAACAGCAGTGAGCCCCCCTGGATCAACCACCCAAGCACCAAACCAAGGGTCAGCAAGAGCAAGTCTAACCCCAACCTTCAGCAAGGAAACTGTCCCAAAGATGAGCTTGAGCCCCACTCACTGCAGCCAGATCAAAACTGTACAGAGGACTCATCCGGTAGATTGACCCAAAGAAGGCACACCTGGTGCCGGCTTTACATGGAAGGACTTAAGCAGACATCCACCAAAAAGCCATCAATTACAACTGCAACCTCAGCAGCTGGCATGTCCAAAAGCCTAGGTGACCTGACCTCTGAGGATATTTCTTGCAACTTTGACAGCAAGTATCGCAGCATCAGCCGCAGTTTTATTGTGAAATCCGCTAAAGATCAGCTCCGTAAGGGCAGCCCACGGAAGTGTCAACCCCAGAGTGACCTGATGGAGCAGCTGCGCAAGCTGACTGATGTGGAACCATTGAATCCAAGTGACTTTACACCGGAAAACGGACCTAGGGACACAGAGGTGGAGGATGTTCCGGAGACGCTGGTGCGACGAACCTCCTCAAGGAGCCAAAGTAGGGTGCGGTACATTGCAAACAGGGCTAAAAAGGCCCAGGAAAGAAAGATGCTCCAAGGTAAAAGTGGTAGCTTCAGCTTTACTGGAGGAATAGGCAGTAGAATTTCCTGTCCAATCGAGGAACGGGGTAATCCAGAAGGAGCATGCTGTATTGGCCAGAGTCCCTGCAGCAGTCTGGACCTGCTGAGTCAGTTAGAATCCCCCTCCTATGTACAGTCGCCCCTGACGTCTGACTGCCCTGAAATGTTCTTTAGGCTCAAACTCTGAGAACTGGTACTGATGGGGAGAGAAGCAGCTAAAAACTGCTTTAAAATAAATTGCCTTTTCAATCTTTTTAAATTTAATATCTGGCAATTTTCCACAATAGACTATTTGACAAAGTATCTGATCAAAAAACTCAGAACTTTCCAAGACCCAAGACCCATTTTTTTGTGTGACCGGTACTCGTAGAAATCATGAGGTGCTTTTCCACAGCAAGAACTGGAGATGTGGCAATATACCCCCCCACCCCACCCCAGCCCTCTTTCCACTGCCCACACATGAAACCAACTCCAATACAAAGCAGCTCAGAAATAAAGTGGAGGATAACCAGACTGTTAATTTTTTTTTCCTGCAAACCATAATATTCCGAAGTTCTAGTTGCTGCTGTGGAACCCGACCCCCCCCTCCCCAATTGATCATTTTTGTGTTGAATCTAAACTGCTTTCATGTTTGTATTTTCCAGACATGACACAGTAGCAATAGATCATAGAGTGAGATTTTAATAGTTTTTTTTATTTTTGCTCAAACTTTTAAGATATTAATTAGATAATTTATGTGAAAGCTTTATTAACCCGTCCATCTATTAGCAATATTTTAAATATGATAGCATGTCATGCAGAAATTGTAGTTTGATGCTGGAAGAGTCTTGTCTGTGTCTTTACTGAAAAATTATTTAAAAAAAATTCCGATGCAAGAATGCAAGTGTTGATTTTATAAGTAAATATATCAGTGGCTCCGTTTTAGACTGAGGTCTGATGCTATAGTGTGTCCACTCTCTGAGATCCTGTTTTTTGTTTTCCTTTTTTTTAAGGAGTTGGTTTAAACGATGAACTTAGTTTAAACCAACTTTTCTTTTTATGTTGACTGCATGCATTTTATGCACTGGACTGATGGACTTTGTTTTACCAATATTTTTATATGAAGATTTTAGCCTTTTACAGATTGTTTTATGTTGCCGAGCATCGTGTCTATATTCCTGTTTTCATTTCTGTGCTACCCAAGGAAGATGAGAACGATCTGTATAGAGGCACGTTTGTACCATCTCTACCCTGCTGTCCACTTCTTTGAGAACAATATTGAGCTCAATGTCTAATTATGACCTGAATAAACCTCACATATAACTGAAAGTTTCACTGCTCATTTGTTTAATCTGTCAGAGGTTCCCAGAGTTGCAAAAAGACAAATTATGTATTAGAGCAGTTGAACTGAGGCTTACACACAGTGACACGAACAAGCTGCTGGCCTCGGTTTTGGACGTTGAAATTATGTACTCTGTTGGGGTCTGTATTTACCAGCCATCACTTCTTTGCAGCAGAAGTAAAAAAGAGCAGACCCCCTGTGGGAATAAGGAATGTTCCAGAACAAAGACCCAATCATTCAGAAGAAAAACATGTTTTAGTCCTTTCTTATATTCCAAGAAAAGATTATTCTGCTTGAATGGGTGATGGAGACCTTTTGAACACATTGTCTAATTTAGTTTACTTTGAGGTTTTTAGGGTTTTCTTCAGAGTAATATTGTATTCCTTAATAATGCATTCCTCTAAGGATGGGAAATTCCCTGACTTGGATGTACAGTAAAGCAACTCCAGGGAAATCTGTGGGTGCCTTTAATATGACTCTGGAAGGAATACTCCTTAACCCCTCTTCAGTTATTTCTGGTCATCTCAACATGTTTCAGGTTCACAACACCTGATATGTTTTGCTCATTAGAGAGTCCTGCAGCACTCCAGATATTCTGGATTCTTTCATGGCCCGGATGAGTTGATTGCAGGTCGGATAAGACTGGGAAGGTTTAGCAGAGTTTGTGTTGTTAATATTTTTGCAAATGTCTCCTGACTGTGGTTCACTGCATACCTAAAGTCTTACAAAATGCTTTATGGTTTCCAACTAAAAGATGCCAGGTCCTCCGTTTCCTGTCTGTTCTTGAGTTTCCATATTTTTTGTACAATGAAGTTGTCAAGTTGTATATTTGGTTACATTTATAGGTTTGTGAAAAAGTTAAAGTTTATTTCATAAATCAAGCCACAATAGAACGTCACACTGCAAAAATGATCTAGAAATAAGTAAAAATGTCCTAAATTAAGTGTATTCACGCTTAATTTGAGTAGGTAAATGATATATTTTGCCAATGGAATGAGTCATTTTACTCTTAAAATAAGATAATTAGATAATATGCACTTGAAACAACACAATGCAATTGTATTTTCTTATTTTAAGTGTAAATTGTTATGTTCAATTGGCAGAATGTCTCCTTTACCTCCTCAATTCAAGAACAAATGCGCTTATTTTAAGAAAAAATGACTTATCTAGATTTAGATTTTTTGCTGTGCATATTTACCCCTTTAAAGGTGTGATCTTAATATACAGAAAGAAATGGAAAACAATGGATGCAGTAATACTGTTTGTGCAGTGAAGCCTTTATTTAGCCAAATTTAACAGAACTTTAGAAACATTCAGGTTCGGCTGAAAAGACAAGGATCCAAAATGACTTCTTGCATTCCTCATTCAGTCGCAGATATTTCCCAAGATTGCTATGATGCTTTAACTCCATGTGTCACTTTAAAATAAAAGCGAACGTGGTTGACGTACAGATTTGCTTAAAGGAATAGTACACCCAAAACATGATTAGCCTTCATTTTCTACTCACCCCCATGCTGAACAACACTCTGGAGTACTTTTTTGATATC